TGTACATCCGTTATTTAAATTGCTGCATGGGCAATTCTGACAGTGGTTTTTAAGAGTTAATCTTTTGTAACTTAAACAGGGGAAAGTCAGATCTAAGTTTTGATTTGGAGGACTTTTTTAAAGCTCCCTTGTGCATGAGAGCACGGCACTGTATGGCTCTAAACTGTAGGAAACTTGTTAGTTTGAATACTTTCCCTGCCTGGTTCCTCTTACTTTTACCTTTGGAACGTGGTGATGGCAGATACTAGTCACACCGTATCCAGATGTTTTCCAACCAGCTACAACCATGATTTTTGCAACATTCTTTCGATGTAGCCTGTGAAATTGGAAACAAAGCCAAATGCTTTCTGATGTGCAACAGTGGTTTTGCAGAGGGGCCGAAACAAAAAAAAAAAAAAACAAACAAACCAACCAGCAAATAAAGCAGATGTGTCAACAAGAACTGAAAGCTCAGGTGCCTGAATGTTTAGTAGACTTAAATTTAGTTATAACTGCTCTTTGTAACATGACTGTTCAGTAACTGCACATGAAATTAGACCAGCATTCAAAACTACCCTGTGAGAAGATCCATCTGACTTGGTGTTTGCCTGTGTATAATCCTAAACGTTACCCAAGCAGATTAAAGTAAATGTCTTGTCTAGGAGCTCTTCTGTTTCTGAAAATCAGACACTGTTGTAAGAGATTGGAAATGGAGGAAAGGGGTTGGTGCTGGAAAGGAAGGCACACGTGACTGGAAGAATCGCTCACTGTTGTAGGCGGCTCCGTCGGCTTCGTGTCAGAGTGACACAGAGCTTGAGTGTGTTTTGCAGGCCATGGCTCCTCTTATGGTTAGAAACCTGCGCTTGCCTTCTAGCTGGAACATGCCCAAAAGTATGTTAAAATACTGATCTGTAGTATGCGTAAGGATTGTAGTTCAAAAACTGAATGTTTACTGAAGTGCTTGTTTGCTAAATGCTTGTTCCAGAGGACACAATCTTCTCCGTTCTTAAAGCCAGCAGAAAACCCTGTTACTAATACAACTTGAAGAAAGTATTTGTAATTGCTATTTGATTGTACAATTAAAATGGCTTAAGGCAGCTTGATGTAAAAATGTAATCTGTCTTAATAGCAAAGCCCAGGCTTATGTTGTATATGCAGAGCCTGTGTTGCAGGAGGCGCACAGTGCTCAGTGCAAATGCCACAGGCCTGAGTGAGGCTGTGCCTTTGTGAAGGGAACCTAGAGCTGGGGAAAAGCGCTGGTGCATGTAAAGTGATCAAACACCTGCCATGCATTCATGGGTTTTTTTCGGTTTAATGTTTGATTAAAATATTGTGGGGCTCTTCTAAATGAGGATCTGAAAACGGGAATGTTAAGGAGGAGTACAGTGTTGCCTTTAGCAGATGTAGTGTGCAGCCTGTAATTCAAATACTGAATGTTCTGTGTGCAGACTGCACACCTGTGAATGATGCACCTGCCCAGGGAATTGAAGTGGGTTTTGCCATAAGCAGTGATGTCTTACGTTAGTGGTATTGAGCCCAAAGACAAGGGATCTCTGGCGGGGTTATCCTGCATCTGTGTTTGCGAGCTGCCTGTTGGGGACACATCCTAAATTACTCTGAATAGGGTCTTCACAGAGTGGGATCTTCTCAGGTGAGAGGATCAGTGGATGTGAGAGCCTCTGCTGCTGAAAGGCTGTATGCAGAGTACTGCACACTTTGGATTTTCCAAGTGACCAAGCAGCAAGCTGTTGGGTACAGCAGTGAGGGCAGTTCCTTGGTACCCCCAAAAGTGAAAGCAGCTGTAATTGCCTCAATCAAATGGCCTTCAGGGATAACCAGCTGCTTTTTGGCAGTCTAGGCTTTTGTGTTACAGAAGTGCATAGTTAAGGTTTGCCTCAGAGGAATGACTGCAGTCTCCTCCTTAACCAAACTTCCTGGTTTACATAATAATAATAATAATAATAAATGTTTCCTATATATTTTGTATCTACTGATTCTAGCTTGGGGGGGTTGGAAGAATTCTGATGCTGTAAGTGCTGGAATGAAAGCTGGGCTTTTATACAGGTGGATGAGCTCTCTGAAGTACATCATGAATGTATGTCATAGTGGTAATTTGTCTGAAATGTCTCCCATAAGAAAAAACCCCACTTGGAAATACTGCTTATTGCTTTCAAAAAATAAGAGAACAAACTCTCATTTGAGGTGTATAATCAACTTGGGTTTCCTTCTGGTTGGTTGGTTTGTTTGTTTTTTTAAGAGCAGCTGTCCAGTTAGGGAAAGGTTGTTTGTAAAGTAAGATCTGTAATGTTCATAAAATCTCAAATTTCCTTCCTCTCTCTTGGTTTCTCTTTGTCTATTCCCAACTATCCACAAACCAGACTTTTTCTTTACTGACAAGATTTGAAGACTGAATTGTTCGCTGCGATACCAGATTTTCCTTAACTCTGAGTTTTGCCCCCGAGCAAAGTACAAGCTTGCATTTGCAGCATAAATATGTCAGTTTAGATTGTCAAGTCACAAGTGCTGATTTGTTTGCCTCTGTACTTAAAGGATATCTTTCTATGGGGCAGCAGGGCAAAAATAACACGGATAGTTGTTTTATTCCACAGCAGTGAAGAAACACATGCTGTTTGGCAATGCAGTTAAGCATATGTTGGTCAGAACTGTAGTTTGTGGGAATCACTTTTTAAAAATAAGAAGATCCTTTCCTCACTGTGGTGATTGCTTTGCTTTAAGGAGAACTAGGGAGCTGGGAAATGAAGGTTATTGTGGTAGTGAAGTGGAGGCTCATCCATGGTTTTACCTCCACAGTGGCTTTTCGTTGGTCTCTGTTGTCCTCAGTGGCTCAGGCAGTGATGGGTCAGCAGCAACCCACTCTGGTGGGTTCGCATGCATGCCAATGAGGAAGTGACACAGGCAGAGATTCTGCATAAAATCTAAATACACAATGTAAATTCACACATAACAAACATGCCTGCTGCTGCCCTGCTGTGGGACTGGTACTGACAGACTGCCCTTATGTATCCTGGCTGTAACATCACCATGAGTTTTGCGTTGCTGTGGCTAGCTTAGCTTTTGGGAGGCCGTTATATAATCGAGTTTCAGTTTGAATAATTCATATGTATGCATTGCCGAAACTTGAAAAATTCAGTGTTTCTGCCTATTTTTATTTATTTATTTATTTAAGTTACATCATGGAGTCTCTGGCTTTTGATGAGTCTGCATGTTTTCAGCCAGCATAACTGTTTTTAAACACACTCGTATTAACAGCCACAAATTCAGCTAAAAGTTTAAACCTCTTTTTAGTCAAGATTCTTCCTGAAGTTGCAAGAAATCTTTACCAGGAAGTTGCTTGTGTTGAGGTTCAATCTTTTTTTCTTTTTAGCTTTTTATTTTTTTTCCCAAAGACTCCATTTGCAGTTTAGTCTGGTTTAGTGAAGTCTACATTTTTAAGGCTCTTAAGTGCAGAGCTGTGCTACGTGGCTTAAAAAGGGAGTGTGCAAGTAAAGATACAGATCAAGAGCACTTGAATAAAACATAACATTTTGTTCCAAAGTTTCTCTTAATATGCAAGATGTGTAATGTGGAGCAAGCAGAGTGGGAGAAGAGCACCTGATTGAAACTTCTGTGCTGTGCTTGTTGGAGAATACAGGGGTTTTTTTTCTTGTATTGAGATATGATATCTAGCTTTGTAAGTGTCAGTTAGTTGTATTTTTTCCATTACTTGCTTATAGCAGCTTGCAGGGATCTGTCTGTCTTAACGCTTTGTAGTGTTATGTATTAAAAGCTGTGGTTTGATTGTCATGAATTTAGATCATGAGGCATTTCTCAGTATCTGTCAGTTTTATTGCCAGTGTGCACTAATGCACAGCAATTAATGTGATTGCATTAATAAGCACCAAATCCAGTCTCCTCCTTTCTGTGGGATGATGGTTGTGAGATCTGAGACTTCTCTTGTTTTGTGACAGAGCTGTGAAAAGGCCCTTTTTAAAAAATACCTAAAATATGTAATCTTTCATAGACACATTGAATGGTTTGGGTTGGAAGGGACCTTAAAGCTTATCTAGTTCCAACCCCCTGCCACGGGCAAGGACACCGTCCGCTAGAGCAGGTTGCTCCAAGCTCCTGTGTCCAACCTGGCCTTGAACACTGCCAGGGATGGAGCAGCCACAGCTTCGCTGGGCACCCTGTGCAAGTGCCTCAGCACCCTCACAGGGAAGATTTTCTTCCTTATACCTAACCTAAATCTATCCTCTGTCAGTTTAAATCCATTCCCCCTTGTCTTATCCCTACAGGCCCATGTCAAAAGTCCTTCTCCAGCTTTTTTGTTGGCCCCTTTAGGTACTGTAAGGGTGCTCTAAGGTCTTCCTGGAGACTCCTCCAGGCTGTACAACCGCAGCTCTTTCAGCCTGTCTCCATAGGGGAGGTGCTCCCAGAGCATCTTCATGGCCTCCTGGACATGCACCAACAGGTCCATGTCCTCCTTATGGTGGGGGCCCCAGAGCTGAACACAGTTCTTGTTTCTTTTTAATTGGTCAAGACAGAGTATTTTGATGTGACACACATGTTGTCATCCTTTTAGGGCCTCTGATCCCTCTCAGCTCTGTGTTTTGTTGCTAGTCCACAGGATGGATGGTTTTGGTGTTTGCAGGTTTTCTATTCCTATTTTCAGTGGGGAATTCTGCTTATAACTTTTTCCGTCATCCAGGAGCCCAAGGTAAAGCTGAATCTTGTACCTAAACTGAGTTTCATAAGCAGCTGGTTTCGTCTAGCTCAGTAGGGGTGTGAAACTTCACATAATGATAACTGCTTACTTCTAGCCACCTCTGACTTGAAACTGGGAAAACTGATCAGTGGTGCAAGGAGCCTTTGCTGTAGAGCACTATCCCTTCTACCGTTTGCGACTCTACAGATGCATTGGGTGCTCTTTGCTGGGGTGATGCCTGCTCTGCCTGTGTAGGTGGTGCACTGCCTCACTGAAGTCTGCCTTCTTGCAGAGAGCCAATTTCCAATGTCCTGCCATGGATGATGACAGCCAGGATGAACTGATAAACAAGAATGCTGCACTAGGCAAGAGCAAAAGACAGAGTCTTGCGCTCCTCAGTGAAACAGGTAAATGGAGCCTCTCTACGTGTGCACATTTCTAGTTTTAGGTTGGAGACCCTATTTAGTTTAACCTCCAAAGAGAAGTAAAGATGTGTTAGTGACCATTTATTTCTTTTTCCCCAAGAATTGTTTTGATTTGCTTCCTAAATTCTGTATCTCAAACTGCTGGCATACTTCCCTCTAGTTTCTCAGAACAGTCAGCTTTGATAACACTCACAAGATTGGGGTTTCACTTTATGTGTAACATCCCGAACAGGAGTTCCGGTGTGACCTTCACTGTTCTGTCTGTCTGCATCAAATAGATATTTCCTCTCTTCTTCTCTTTTCTTTTTAAGAAAGCAATGGTGGAAATAGTGGTGTTTCAGAAGATGATACTGGAAGTGAGGAAGAAGATGATGACACTGAGGAAGAGGGAGGCGAGGAGGACAAGGAAGAAAGTGAAGATGAAGAATTAGAAGGTAAGCCTGTTAACATTAACAGGCTTTTTTTTTTTTTTTTTAATAATTGGAGGAAGAGTGGTATGGAAACTTTTCCTCCAAAAATTAACCATTAAATATAAATCCACAGATGCTGCTGTGTCAGGCTGATGCCTAAATCCTGCAGTAATAAACAAGTAACATTCCCCAATTTCTAAGTTCTTAAAGCATTTTTATATATGAAGACTTATCTGCTAGCCAAAGTGATGTAGTTATAGTCAGTAGGAGTGAGCTCTGTCCCAGCATGAGGAGAAAAAAAAAGCCAGAATTGCAGCAATGGCTGATGCTGTTTTCTCACTTATGAAAACCACATTTGTTTGCTTTGGCACGGGGCTTTAAAGTGAATGTTGTGGTGGGGAGTTTTGGAAATAAATTATTATTGCTTCAAGCCTAGGGAGGAGGGAAGAAGACTAATCTTCCTTTGGAAAGGCAGTGTGGATGTTACTTGGATTTGTTAGTTTTACTGAAAATGTACTTTCTCGATGATGTACTTCTGAAACTGCTGCACTCAAATTATTATTTGAATAGACAAAAACAGTTTTTTATCACATCTTAAAGTTTGTTGGGAAGGCAAGAGCACAGTTTTCCAAGTTACTAGTTAGGCTGATTTGAACACAGACTAAAAACTTGATGCCAGGTGCCAAAAAGCTCTATTAATCCTTCATTTAGAGAATTTTCTGCTATGTCCAGACAGGAGAAGTCAATAGAAAAGACAAAAAAGACAAAACAACACTTCCCCTTTCCCCTCAAAAAAAAAATAAAATAAGTGAGAGTGTTTTTTAGGTAACTTTTCACTGCTTCTTGAAAATGTCAACTTAACTCATAGGTTTTAGGGAAAGACTAACAGACATTTCTGTATTTTGCACAGAAAGTATTAACACCTTTCAACAATGTGTGCCGAGTGTTTAAAATTAACTATATTCAAACCCAACTTTCTTTAAGCAGTCTCCAGCTAGGCCCCCAGATCTCTTGATTCTTAAAATCATGATTTACTGGTGAAATCTTGAATCTGTTTTTCTGCAGATCAACGTATTGCTGCTTCTTGTCCTCTGGAGTGCATTAAAAAAAATAATAAAAAATTTGGATATATGATAACTTTATAACTTTATTTTTTAACTTCAGTGTTTAGTGGTAGCCTGACATATCCTACTCTCCTGTTGTTTTGATAATCTGTTGTTTTTCTGCTGTCTGTCCTTCTAATCTCTTGCAAGACTAGTCACGTTATCAGGCTTTATTTTTCACCAGAGTAATCCATTGCTTTTTAGTGAAGGGATTTAGGAAAAAAGAAAACAGCAAACCTTATTGCCTCAAGCTTGGGAAGTTGTGCTTTGCCCTTGCAGCCCTATAAAATAAGCTTACTTGGAATTTTTTGTGAACTGGTACCTGCCCACCCCCTCTGCCCTCACTGCTGAAGCACTGCAGCAGCGAGAGCTGTTTCTCATCTCTAACTTCTTAAGATTGTGAAGATGATAATGATGATGAAGAGGAAGAGGAGGAAGAAACTGAGGCCAGTGGAGCGGGAATGACCGATTCTCCGAAAGTAGACCCACACATAAATGGAGCAAGCGTTTCCTCTGATGAGGATGGTGAACACTGCCCCATTTGCCTCAACACGTTTAGGGATCAGGTTGTTGGGACTCCTGAGAACTGTTCCCATTACTTCTGCTTGGACTGTATCGTGGAGTGGTCTAAGGTGAGCTGTTTTGTTCCTGATGTCCTGTGGCCTTCTGGTGTGCTGTGCTCTTTCCCCTCTGATCGTGCTGTTTTTCTGCAGTGAGAACAAAACACTGTAATATTTATATTTGCTTCCTTAAGCTTTTTTACACAGACTTGGGTTACTGCTCCATTTGGCAGGTTTCATGTTTGTCAAGTGTCGATCTGTTTTGTACCCATACTGATCTATTGGGTTCTCTGAAAGCTGTAACTCATAAGCAAGTGTGTTTCTACGCCATCTAAACTTATTTTTTCAAGTCAAGACATCAGTAATACTGGTTTTCTGTGTATTTCTTTGTATATATCTTGTTGAATTCTGTGTAGTGACCGTTGGATGGGGGGGTCTGTTGTGACAGTGGATATTTAAACATAGAAGAGATATAAGAGAATGCTAAATCAGCAGTTTGCTCGGAATTCAGTTTTCAGCTAGAGTTCCTTGCAACCTAACTGTGTAATTCCCATAATCATAAACCAGGGTGAGATTTACAACAAAACTTACTGTGCACACAGCAGTACCAGTGGTAATTAATTAGGTAAACAAATCACTCTTAATGAACATATTTGTAAGCCATTCCCACTTGCTCATTCATCCAAAAGAAAGAAAATGCCCTAGTACATGAGCGATATTTCTAGGCAATGTTTGGAAGAACTTCAATGTTACTTTGGCAATTGAATAATAATTAATTAACCTCGGTATTATGAATGCTTTTCTGAAAATGCATGTTTTCTCTGATGCAATGGGTTGGTTGTAAACCAGATAAGTTGGATTTAAGTACTTAAAATATCAAGCCCAGTAGCTGTTAAAATGATGACTGCATTAATGTTTATTGCATTAATAATTGAAGATGTCCTTTTTAGAAATTGAATCAAGAGATGTGCTTATTAACTGTTTAAGAATTTATTTATTTTTTTTTAAATCTTTCTAGAATGCAAACTCCTGTCCAGTGGATCGAATCCTCTTTAGGAACATTAACATTCGGGCACATTTTGGTGGTGAAATCTTAAGAAAGGTAAGCTTTCTGCTGTAGCAAACAACAGGGTCAGTTGCTATAAAATACCTATTTAAAGGTTTACACTTCTAACACATTTATCTGATATTTGGTATCTGGATGTATTTTATTTGTTTCCTATTTTGAGATTGCCTTTTAAGGAACTGTTATGATTCTTCTTTTTCCTAACTACGTTTCCTGCAGTACTGTGTGTGGATGAAGTGTGGCATCATGTCTGATGGCAGAAAGGGTGGTTTTCATAGCTGCCTCTTTTGCATAATGGACATTTGACTCTAAGCTGTTATGCATTGATAAGCCTGTCTATGTGGGGAAAATACCCTCCATACTGCAAGTGCTGCTGTAATATGAATAGGAATAATTTAGGTTATGCATTATCTCTATCTTATGTCTTGCTGCCAGCTGTACTATGTATCATTTGGGCTTGTGACTGGAAAGAGACAGAAGGCAATAGCAGAGCTCTTAAAGGCACGGGTTGAATGTGCTAATAGTCTTTCATGAATGAACGCTAAAGAGTTGTTACTGCTTTTTATTAGTATCAGAAACATGTTGGTTTTCAGGGGACATTTATGAATTTGTTGCTCTGTTTTCATAAACTGATGGTTTATTATTAAGTGTTAATGTTTTAACAGAGATGCAAATTAACATTTGAATCATATGTTTAGAGAGGAAAAAAGCTAAGCTTGCTCTCTTCTTTTGTCTTGTTTTTAGTTTGACTCCTTTTGATGTTATCAGGAACTTTGGTTTTGCCTGTTCTTGAAATGCAGTTTTCTGTAGTTGTTGGTGTCTGACAGTAAACAAGTTCAAGTAGATGTTTTCAAGCATTTGATCATATCCTACATGGGTTGAATGAACTAAATGAAGGTTCTAGTACATAACTGCCATTTTGGTTCATTCACTTTTAGATTTTGTTGCAGGTACTGTTAGTGTGACAATGTGTTTTAAAAAGTCCCACATTCCTCATAAAATGTAAATCCCTCTTTTATTTAGATTCCTGTTGAGAACACGATTTTTCAGGGTAATTATGGAGAGGATGACCCAACCTTCTGTGAGGTGTGTGGCAGAAGTGACCGTGAAGACCGCCTGCTGCTGTGTGATGGCTGTGATGCAGGGTAAGAAAGGTTGAAACGAATGTAGCACCTGCATGACTGCAGATGGCACTGCAGGGCTGGCCGGTGTTTGGTCCACAGGCACTATCTGGGCTGTAGGCTGTCCCTTGCTGCTTTCTTCAAGCTCACCATGTGGCCAGAGTATCTGTATGCGTATAGTGCAAACATCCCCATGATTTGATGGATCCTTTTCTGGTCATCTAGCAGCATATATGTGGAGAGTCCTGCACACATCGGTGCTGCAGGCCACTGAAACAGGTGACCATACCTTCAAGTGATGAAGATACTGCATGGATGAACACAAAAATCTGGGTGCATAGAGGGTAAAAAACATGTATCCTTTATGTCTTTTTGAAAGAGTGCATGACTTATCTCAGCTGACTGGGCACTAGCGCTGTGCAGGAGAAGTGCTTAAGATTCACAGTGTCATGAAATTTTGAGGTCTTTATAGCTGCAGTTACTAAATGATGTCCTTACTCTTGCTTACTTCTGTCTCTGCTAAATGTGTTTTTCCCCTCCCTGGTAAGTAAAATAAATATTTAAGTAGAAGCATCAAGATACTTGAATGCAACTTCAGACCTATAGTCTTCTGCTAGAATTTAAAGGTCTTAAACTGTTTAATCAGTCTTGCAGCATTGTCAGTTTCGTGATGTCAAAAGTTACCCATTGAACAAAGAGAGATACTTGCTTGCAATGAATACATAAAGTAATCTTTAAAAAAATACTTCTAGCAAACTAACTGGAGATCTGGTAAGTCTAGTTTTGTCTTTGTGTTCTCTACAGTCCATATACTCTGATTCATCTTCGGGAGAAGAGGCAAAATCAGGAATGCTAAATATTGTTAGGCATGTCATCAGAACACTTAACCAAAACCAGTGTTTTGTGGTCTTATCTGAAGTCATGTATTTCAGGTCTTTCTGGACTTTCATAAGCCTTATCTGAACCTAGGGTATTGCTACAGATACAGTAGTTCCCCTATTCCCCCACCCCCGCCCCGGAAGCATCTGTTCATAACTTGAAGGTACAGGAAAAGTTTGAAATCAGTTGGACTTCATTGTCAGTCACAGAGCCAAGAGATGCCCTGAGAACTTGGTGGCCGGTGTCTCTTGGCCCCACAAATAGTCCTGGCCAGACCACTTAGTCACTCAGTCTTTGTGCTTCTGAGCAGGTGGGTGCAAGAATGCAAGTAAATGAACCTGAGGGAATGAGCATCCAGGGAACTCTAGATAGCTGTTGCAGTAGGCTCTCCAGTGTCCAAAGTTTTAGGGCTGAAAGTCGTTGCTTGTCAAATAGGTCATAACATGACATCAGAACTCCCAGAGGTCATTTGAAAGGTACATAGTTAAGTTCTTGCTACAAGTACCTGTGTCATGACTTTGGCCTGAATCTAACAATATTCCTTGTCAGAATACTGCTTTGGAGAAATGATCTCATTCCTGGTAGCTGGCAGTTGGAAAATAAACTCTCTTTTCCCAGAGAAGGAAAATACTTTGCTACCCTAATTTTAAAGTAATGGTTTATTGCAAACATAATTTTTCAACTTCATCTCAAGTCCCTGAAAGAGTATAAAATCTACCCTGCCAGTGCATAGTCTTTCATGCAAGAAGAACATGAGACTCTGTTTTTTTTTATATTGACAATTAATATGTTTTAGTATAAATATAATATTGGTGGTTTTGACAGTTAAGCTGCAAATTGAGTTTATCACAACATGGTTGGGAACAGGTTTGAAAGACAATCTGAAGTTGGTAAACAGCTGTAGTCTCTGTGTGGGGTTTTTTGTTTTTTTTGTATTGCTATAAAATTGTATTAATGTGTCAGATGTTCCTTCCTTTTCTTTTCTCTGTGGTCAGCACTGAGATGTATTATCAGACAGTGAATTTTGGCATGCGAAAGTGAAACAGAGACCTTTGCTCTTTTTCCTTTATTTACATCAACGTTAAATACTGTATGACATCAGAAATAACAGTAAGGTTTAGCTTTTTAGAAAAAGTACAAAGTTGGTGACAGAAAAGGTTGCTAATTTGAATCTGAAACTCTTACTTAAGGCTGTGGTCTCCCTGTGTTCCTTGCCTTGGGATCTTGGTCTGTGCACTTGGTTTTCATCTCATTTACTTGGAGAATCTGTTTTAATTCTTTCTAGCAGGAACATGAGTTGCTTTAAAACTTCTGTGCTACTAATATATATTGCTTTGGCTGGGCTTTAATTGCTGAAAACAAATTACAGAGCTGAAGTCGGGTAATGTTGAGAGGCTTTCCTGGGTAGCTTCTCTGTTTAGCTTTTTGGGTAGAAATAGTTTCAAAAGGCCTGCCTCGAAGAGCATCATACCCTCTTCTTTCCATTTGAGATTTGATAAGGACAAGCACATCTCAGGTGGTGTTTGGAAGTCAGTGTGTTTAGTCTTCAGTCCTGCAAGCAGCTGTATGAAGCCAGTCTGACTAAAGCTCTACAACGTGGTTTGTGCATTTACGCAAACATCCTTATCACCAGGTGTCTTCATTATGCCAGGTGTATAGGGGAGGCAATGCATTTATTCAATGTAACAAGGCTTTCCACTTCACCTTTGTCTAGTCATGCAAAATAAAATGTTCATAAGTACCAGTAAGGCTAATGCTATGTTGGTTTGCAGGAACTGATATTGTTTCCTGATTTCTTGTCTCCCCAACACCTCAATACATCTCTCCTTTCTCTTTGTCACCGTCAGTTTTGTCTCTGCACGTTTCTTTCAGCTTGGGTTCAAATGGCAAGCGATACACCAAACAACGAGGGGGAATATGCTCACTTTTCTGAGCTTTATTGATCAAAATATCACCCAGAGTTGAAGATCTTTATATAACTATCGGGTAGCATCGTTTCTCTGGAGGTTGGTAGAAGCAGATGTGTAGACCATAGTTTCAAACTTCAGAAAATATGGCTGCCTTATGCAGTGTGTGGATAGAAGTAAAAGGCTCTCTTCCCTTGGAAAGGAGCACATTCTCTGATTTTTATTTTACCTTTTTTTTTTTCTTTTTTTTTTTTCCCCTACCTTGAGGTATCACATGGAATGCCTTAATCCACCTCTGAGTGAAATTCCTGTAGATGAATGGTTCTGCCCAGCCTGCGCCCCCATGGGTGTCAGTGCTGCTGCAGGTAAGAGTTTTGTGGTATCCAGTCGAAGTAAATATTTTTCTCTTGAGTTAAACGATGTGAAGCATGTGCTGTTTTGAAGAGCTGTTTAACCTGTGGTTTTATCTATTTTAAGTAATTGTTTTGATAGGTATTCTCTCTTGAGGTTCAAAAGTTGACTTAAACTCTTTACTAATAAGAGGATCTTGCTTATTGAAATTTTCATCTGCAGTTACAACCTGTGAAGTTTATGCATTCTTTAACCTTCATGAGGCAAGCCCAGCATCTTAGTGCAACTGCATTGTATTACACTGGAAAGACCTTGTTAGTATTCTCACCTGAGACTGCCAAGGTAGCAGCAATTTCTGTCAGGCAGAAAATTCTTTCTCTCTCTGCAACAGTCTTAAGCAGCAGTGTCTGTGCTCGTTTCGTCTTGAAAGGATAATGTCTGCCTTTGGAGGTGATTGGTTTAAGAAAAGGAATACTTCTCAGTTCTCGAAAGACAAGTGACCTAAGCATCTTTTCTTTCAAGACACAGATCATGTCAGTGATGAAGAGGTTGCTGCCATCATGGCTGATGTTACTCCTACCACCAGCAGGCTACGCCCTCACGCCCGAACCCGAGCTATCGCCAGAACTCGGCAGAGCGAACGAGTTAGGGCAACAGTGAACAGAAACCGGATAACAACAGCCCAACAGATTCAGGTATTCTGGAAGAACCTTGTGGGAGAGTTGAAATAAGTCCCCTCTTAAGTATCTCAGCTCTGTGTTGGCTGTGTGAAAAAAAGCACAATGGCTAGCAGTTGTGGAGTTGTTTTAAACTGAAATGTAGAACATGTGCAATTTGAGTGCAGCACATGACCAAAACTCTTTATCTTGAAATCTGCAGTAGCTTCCTCTTAATCTGCATTTTTATTACCTCGGGTATGAGCAAAATTGTATCTTTAGTTCTAGTGGCTGTAAACGCACACTTTGTGCACCACTTCTGGTTTTTTTAACATGCTTTTTTGTGGAGATAGGGCATGTTTATTTGACTTTTGTGTATTGGCTTGTTTGTTGTCCTATCCGCTTTCCCATAGCAGTAGAACCTGTTGGCCAGCACCAGCCAAACTGAAGAAAAAAATGTCAGTATTTTTAAGGTTTCTATGTTTGTGAAAATCAGCCTGTTACTGAAGAGAAAAAGCCCAGTGACCTCAGTGGTGTCGCAGTGTGAGTTCAACCACATTAATAGGCTCCAGAGAATCTGTGCAAGAAAGTATCCCAAATATGCAAGGTCCCTCAAATCCTTTACTCGTTGAACTATTCACTGAAAATTTCTGCAGCTGTTTCTGGATGTTTCTGTTGGCTGGGATAATTACCGTCCTTTAGGTAACTAGAATGCTACAAACTGAGAACTTTCAAACTTTGGGATCTCTAGCCTGCTTTGCCCTCTGTCTTTGCCAAAGCACTCTACCCATCACTTGCATAAATATAAAAGGCTTTAAATTGCACAGGAGCACATGGTGACTTAGTGCAGAAGCAGAGCCTGTAAATAACCTTCATGTGACTAGTAATATGTTAATTGGTTCTTCATTCATGCTGCTGTTGAATTTGGTGGAAGCATGTGGAATTCTGCAACTTTTGAAAGGAAGAGTAGGATCTGACATAAAATAAGGGAAATTCTAGAAAATTCCTTCTAGAAAAAAATCAGAGAATCCTAGAATAGTTAGGGTTGGAAAGGACCTTAGGATCATCTAGCTCTAACTGTCATGGGCAGGGACACCTCCCACTAGACCAGGTTGCTCAAGGCTCTGTCCAACCTGGCCTTGAACACTGCCAGGAACGGTCCAGCCACAACTTACTTGGGCGGTTCTAGTGCCCCACCACCCTCACGGTAAAGAATTTCTTTCTTGTATCTAACCTAAACTGCCCCTATTTAAATCTGAGCCCATGTTCTCCATAATACGATAGTCAGTAGGTGATATAATTGCTTAACTGGCAGCTTGGTGACACAAATGCTTCTCATTTGAACCTCAAATCATTTTATTTTATACCTCCTTGCCACCTCA